ACACTATTGTAAATGTTTAATTAGTTGCTGTCTGATGATCTGTTAAAACCATCAAACTCAGAATAACACCCAAAACCCTTTTGATTCCTCTCAAGTGTGAGTAAATTTACGAGTATATTGCTACGTCATGTGACGCGTATCTCAGTCATGTGACGTGTATCTCAGTCATGTGACGTGTAACTCAACATTATGTAGCTCTTCAGGAAATTAATGGAAACTGCTCACTTTGATGCACATTCGTCATACCCTCGGAAAGCTAGTCTAAACCACATGATACTTCGACGTGCTTCGAAGTACTGTACATGTTAAAAATGTAGGAAAGGATGAGCTGTTGCTAGTGACTCCTTAGCATTCTGATAAACATTGTCACCTGAAAACCGGCAACAACACTAGAATTACTTTGTTTAGCGCCAACTGTCGCAGTACTTTGAACAGAAATACCCGGGACACACCCTACACGGCACTGTATCACCTCCCCCCACCCATTGCACTTACAGATGCACTATGCGTGCTGTCTGTAGATAATGAAACGCTTCCAGAAGATTCGTGAAAATCCTGCGTAGCTTATCTTCGCAGTAAAATCTCCCCCCTGAGGTTTCGTTCATGAAGTGCTGTGCCAGATTGATGCCATCCACCCGCTCGAAGTACAATACCGGGGATACCGTCGATAGCATGGCACCGAAACATGCAACAATGTTCTCGTGCTTCAGCATACATGAGACATTGTACTCATTCCACACTGCCGTTGCCCTATCAACCGAGTCAGGGTGGCGTTCGAACGTCTTTGCAACCATTGTGTCATCCTGCGCATAGTATCAAGGCACAGAGAACAACCGTTTGATTAGGGAGGGACAATCAGGTAAAAGTGTTAGCAGTGCCCTTCATGATGACCATAGACGATAATCGAGCTCTCATCAAATTATGATCATGGTGATACGGCAGCAAAAATATTAATAATACACTTCTTTAGTATTGACTCCATTGAATTTCGCCATAACTAAGCAGTCACATCATAATATTGTACCTGCAAATTTCCCTCCTTAGGGCTATATTTCACACAGTTATACTTATAATACCACCCGAGCGGCAGGGTTTCCGGGGTGTTAGCGGCCGCCGTGAGTTCCCTTCGGGAACGGACACGATAATTTACTACACTTTCTTTTCTTTTTTTATTATACACCACTACCCGCAAAGGTCTTTTGGCTACAATTTTATTCCAAACATATTTAAAATAATCACTTCAAAAGAAGACAGTAATTAAACGAGAGAGCTTGGAAGCTCAGGGCCCTACGCTACGTTTTTTTGCCCAGCGAGCGTCAACTTTCTCTTTGCATTCGAGGGTAATACGACACCGTCTACCACCTTGATGACCTACGAAAAAAGCATAAGGATGTTATAAATTTTTCATTTCTCCTATTTTTTTTAGACATAACCTGTGGTTTGAACCCGCACTATCGCCCTGCATGCATTCTCCGATACACTTCGCATACATACTCATTCTTCCAAGTTGCTTCACATTGCAGTGTCCGGAGTTGCAACATTTCTGGCGGACAAGGGGTTAATCCTCAACGCGCAGAAAACCCAGGTTCTGGGCATCTCCGCCGGAAGGCGGAACAGACTAGAGCTTGAAGTTACATGTCGTGGCACTCCTCTGGCTCAAACCAGCACAGCCAAATACCTTGGTATTTGTCTGGACGAGCGCTTGAGCTGGGCAGGTCAAGTTGCTGCTGTAGTGAAGAAGGTGTCCTACAAACTCCGAGTCTTGCGCCACATCAGAGCAGACATCACCCGTGCACAGTCCCTCCTTTACTACACAGCTCTTATCCTACCTGACCTACTCTACGCCTCGAACGCCTACTTCGCCAGCCTCTCAGCAAGCCTCAAACAGACCCTCTTCAGACTGGATAAGCGCTGCATCCGCTGTATCACAACCCAGTCCTCGCGTGCCCACACTATGCAGCTATATGCCCACCTCGGCATTTGTCCGGCTTTCGAGCGGGCGGATTGCAAGTTGCGGCTTCTCGTACACCGCATACTTCACGGCAATGTCAGTTTGCTGCTCAATTCACGCCTGGAATACAGTTCACTGCCCCGTGCCACCAGAACTCAGGATGCCTGCAATCTGCCCCTTCCCAACATCCGCAGTACTTCTGGATCTCACAGACCAGTTTTTGCTGCTGCTAAGTTGTGGAATCTTTTGCTCTCGTCCTTAAAGTCATGCCCTACCACATGCCGATTCAAGCGTTTATTGGAAGTTTACTTTCATGGCTAATGCTAGGATGTTCCCTATCCCGAGCCTCGGAGTTCTCCATACTCACTGTTTTCTTTACTCCACCTATCCAGGTTATCTTAGATTTTATCCGTTTGGGGATGATTGTCCTTGGATTTCCAATGTATTCATAAAACAAACACACAGAATGGATGTGTTTCGGAATCTCACAGCCTAGCATTCCCCTCTAGTTGGCCTGACCTAGCACATCTCAACGCTCACGTCCATTGAAAGTTTACTTTCATGACCAATGTTGATGATCTAAGGAGAGATTCCTATACTCACCGTTTTCTTCACTCCCCATAATCCAGGATAATTAATCTTGTTCTTAATCTTTTCTCCCTTTCCATCGTCATCATAACATTGGGCATGATTGCCCGTTTGACTTGCGATGTAAAATAAAAGCAATACCAATACAATACATCACGATCTTGCATTTGAAAGCCCTATTTGAATATTGCGGCCAGCTGTCTTTGTTGGTACGGAACGGGACAGGTACGGGATAGCGCCAGGCATGCCGATGGCACAAGCAAACAAACACGGAATTACAGCTGTGTGGACCCTGGCTAGCGCCAGACGTTACTGAAGTAATGTCTTTGGCATAGCTACGGGAATAAAATCCAAATCTTCGGGCCAGGCCTATCTTCAGGAATACAACCTCAAGAACAAAGAGAGATTCATTGTCCTCCTATCATTGTTGGTATTATTACTCTTAGAAAAGGTATCCACATGAACTTCGAATTAACTTTAAACCTGTTAAAGAAGTACAGGATCTCGACCCTGCGAGGGATACCGCATCTTAACTCCACCAGTAATATTTCAAAACTCTGGAGTCGATCGCACCCTATACTTACGTTACATGTACGCATTCTGGCTGGGCGGACTGTGCCGAACACGCCTCGGCCCAGCTCTCTCGCCGGAATGTGAACGACGTTCCCTTGCGCTCCTTGCGCTTGGTCCCCGAATACAAATCCATGCGTCTGTACGGGGCCAAAATGTTCACGGGGAAATCGTTTGAGTTCGTTCGCCGGCCACGGCACCATTTTGAACTAAATTTCAAACTGAAAACGGGCACGAAAAATGATGAAGCGGTCAAAATTTAATTTGTCTGTCAGTACCTGAAAGTGAGCAGGAGAGACTAAATCAGTCGTTCAGCGAGGCAGCAACTTTCATCCACATCTCTTCTATGCGGTATTGCATTGTATTATGGCTACAAGAGTTTGACATAACATATCCTTTCGCGTACTACCAAGAGTATATAACTCTTGGTACTACCTGTTTGCCCTCTTGCGATATGCCCCAAGAATCACTATCAGAGTGATTATCGTGCATCGGGGGGGAGGGGGATCGTAGCAAGGATACGAAAATGTGATCAGCGTGCACAAAGCAATATGCGTTGCTTCCCCAGTACCAACGTAAACTGCACTGTAGCAGAACTTCTGTTAACGAAAAACAAGAATGTCAAATGGCACAGCTGTTGCCGAGGGACGTAGCTCGTGCACATCTACGTGGCGCTTGCCTTCCCCTCATTGGAACTTCCCCTCATGAGCCTTCCAAGTTGGAAGGTTGTTGGTTTGCGCTTCGTAGATGTGTTGGAGCCAGAGAGTGGTAAAATACCCGTATTTTACCACACCCTGGTTAACTTGGAGCTATATGTAGGTGTCAGGTCGTCGAATGTCTCAATATCCTTATCCGTGTTGTGCCTTGTTGTCGCGATGTCTGACTGTATTATTGTATCGTTACCTTGGTGATATTATTGTATCGTTACCTTGGTGAACTGTTGGTCATGACTAGTAACGTACAGGTCCTTTTCTCTTTGCATAATTACTATCGGCTCGACATTCGAGTTTTTATTAAGCACACCTGATGAGCCATCACCAACTACAAGACGAAACGTACGTCGTGTGAAACCACTTGCTATTGCACCCAACGTGTCCGTCATCGTTACGTCAATATGGTGTTTACCAATACTGTTATATTGGCTTTCGGATTATGACTGTTGGTCTTCGCTTGTCTTCCTCTCTTCACGTATTTGACATGCCGTTCAAGCTACCAAGTACATGGGCGTAGGAACGGGTCCGGCAGGCCCGGCGGTCGCCGGACCAATGATTTTCAAATTTTATTTTTATTTTTTTAACATTTCAACCTTGTTGATGGCTTGTCGACTCTTGTACAGGTACCATGTTTTACATCGACAATGCGGTGTATCATCAGCATGCATATTCTTATTTCTCATATTGTTCTGTAGCATTAAAATATGGCCTTTTAGGCCCAATTTTCAAACAAAATCCCGGGGGAGGACCCCCGGACCCCCTCTCACAATTTCGCCGCACCAATATTAAACTGCTTCCTACGCCCCTGAAGTTGCGTGGACTGTTGTTGCCTTGCGGGTTAGAGTTGTAGTTAGACGGGTTTCTCCAATGGTCTTACTAGTCTCGTCATCATCACCCTGTAACGGTCGCCATTCTTTGTTGCCGAGGGGGGGGGACATACACGTAGCTGGTGCGGGCGTTTCCCTTTCCCTCATTGGAACTTTCCGCACTTGCAACTTTCCAGAACAAGCTCACCGCTATCAATGGGACGTACGCGTCACATTATAGAGGCCATTTCACTTTGAGGGTTCCTGATTCAACTCATGATTGTCGTTGTTTTCTCGATTATTGTTTTGGACTTCGTTTCTACGTTGCTTTGCTTTGCACCTTTGTTCCTATTCCACCTTTGTGTTCTTACCTAAAATGAGAGTGCATAATTATTATACAGTAGTACAACAGTGCAATATACGAAATAGTAAATAGTGAATGTGCCGAAGATTTTGGTGATACAAGTGAATTTATTTTGTGAAATGCTCCTCAAAATGCACGGCATCAAGTTCTGCATCCTGATAGCGTCTGCGGACGCGTCAGCTGCTCCGTTGGGCTATTCTTGAGCGGGCGCATATAGAGCAGCGTGGACGTTGGCTCTGTACGCGATGGACTGCCACGTGTTCTTCCTCCTGGAGACAAACAAACAAAACGACACACGATTGTTCAAGTTAGAACAACGTGTTGAGCGCAGTTGAATTCAAGAGTACATCTTGCGAGTAATGTCGCGCGATGAACAGTTTGGAAGGGAATTTTGTGGTACTTGTTGCATTGTTGAACAACCATCATGTTCCCCATGCACTGCCTGCACCTGCATACATGAGCATGCCTTTTGTATGTTACTCGCGACGAGTTCTACATATCGTTGCACCGTGAAATGTCGTTGTGTGAACTGACGGCAATCCGTCCTGGACGCACTAATCGTAATCCATTCACTGGAGTAATGTAGGGAGGTGCAGGCGCTGTAGAGAGACCATCAGTATTCTAGCCACTCTACCAACACTGTGGCTAGTTTGGGCTAAACGAGACATTATTGTTGGATCCGCGAGGCCCATTTGAACCTGAGAGGCGATGCATCAGAGCACCTTGGTGGAGTGTGGCAGATGCTTTACTCTAGGGGCCTGATATTGATGGCTGGAGATCTGAGATCATAATTGATGATGACCGAAAACGAGACTAGCCCTGCCCCTGTTCTGCGATGCCCAAAATATAACATGTACAACTATTACTTCTCAGTGCTGAGGCAACGAACTGAAATAATAAAAACCAACCAAAAACCAACCAACCAGCTGGGTGGTGGTCGTCAGGTGACTTCCACAAAGTTGCCCGCCAAGGTTAAAAACTTACCACATAATTTGTTCAGCCAGTTTATCTTCAGGCATATCCAGATCTCGCGCCATCTTCGTCAGTATGTCTGTGTCCTGGTCTGGCGTAATCTGCGGCTGGTAGTTCACTAGAGTAGGCATGGTGAAGCCTGGCTCTGCTGTGAACCATGGCGATTGGAGAGCATGGGCCGCATCTGGCCTCTCGCAGGGCTCATAACGTGTCATCCAGACAATTAGGTCTTGCAGGTCCGGGGACAGTCGCTGGTAGTTCTCGGCTGACTTGTCCACGCCAACCCGGAGCCTCCCATTCTGCTCCTCCACGTTAAGCTCATAGAACTCTCCCACGTATCCATTCTGACCGACTGCGACCTTGTACACCATCGCCCCACTGCAGACAGGTACAACACGTACATTAAAGGGGAAGTTAAGGCAAAAATTAAAATTTCACCAATTGTAGTCTTCAGGGTGCTGAGTCGAATGGTCTTGGTCCGAGAAAGCTGAGACGCTCCCTTCCTACTTGAATCCCAATCGAACTCGCGCACTTCCACCGAAACTGGGTGACTGCGCCCTACGAGATGGGGATTTGTATGCAAAATGTCACTAAAAGCGCCGTTTCGTTCTTATAAAAGCACGGATGACCGCGATTGGCCCATATGTTGTAGTCTTTTGGACGCTGAGTCGACTGGTTTTGGTCCGAAAAGGCTGCGATGCAGCGTTCCTCCTTTATTCCCAATCGAACATGGTTGAACAAGTGGTCACGTGTTCCTGGGTGCCCAAATCACCTGGTCACCACGCCAGCAGGCGACAACTTTCACACCAAGGTTCAACTCGAGTTCAACTCGAGTGACAGGACTGCACCCAAAAAAGGTCAAACAGGCTAGTAATTTGTACCCTGCAGGCACTGTGACCACCTGACTGGTGTACGCAGGAGCACGTGACCGCTTGTTCAACCATGTTCGATTGGGAATAAAGGAGGAACGCTGCATCGCAGCCTTTTCGGACCAAAACCAGTCGACTCAGCATCCAAAAGACTACAACATATGGGCCAATCGCGGTCATCCGTGCTTTTATAAGCACGAAACGGCGCTTTTAGTGACATTTTGCATACAAATCCCCATCTAGTAGGGCGCAGTCACCCAGTTTCGGTGGAAGTGCGCGAGTTCGATTGGGATTCAAGTAGGAAGGGAGCGTCTCAGCTTTCTCGGACCAAGACCATTCGACTCAGCACCCCGAAGACTACAACTGGTGAAATTTTAATTTTTGCTTTAACTTCCCCTTTAATTAAGGTCAGTCATCGGGATAGCTCGCACGACAAATATAGGATGGATCGGGAAAAGCGACCTCTCCTTATAGAGCATAGCAGTACACAGTCATAGAGAACAGTGCATAAGGCCAGTCAGAGTTGTGTGGGGAGAGCTCGCACGACATTGAAAGAATGGACCTGAAATACAATGTTACACCTTTCCTGCATAGTACAGTGTAGTGGGACTGCCGAGATGTGTGTATGATGTGTATGTGTGTGTGTGTGTGCGTGTGTGTGCGTGCGTCAACTTGACGCCTGAAAGAGCCACATGTACTTGTATAGTACCGGTAAGTCTAAATCACCACAGACTGCCTGACGAACTGTCTGCCAACGTGACGTGCTGGCGAGCCAACTTGCTGTGCACGTAAGTCGCGCTGTGCCAAACACCCAGCTCATGCAGTACTTACAGAAAGAACATAACTGACTTGTGGTCCACACCGCCCATTTCCTTGTCGTTCATCTCGGGCGGGTGGGTGTACATGCGTGGGTGTATCACCATGGCCTTGCGCTCGGCCGTGTACTCAACGGCGAGGCCAAAGTCAATGATCTTGGGCGTTCCGTCCTCTCGTACTACCACATTGTCGCTCTTGAGGTCACTACAGAGAAGACAAAGCTTTCGTGGTCGTTTTGATTCATTGTATAAATGGAATCATCACTTCAATTTCAAACTGTTCGAGCATTTGATCAATACCTCACAAACCAGATGAAGTGAACAGAAAACTGAATTTCTAAATCACTGGCGTGAAATCATCGACTATTTTGGTACTTGTTGGAACATTACACATTCGTAAAAAACTAGCAACAAAAGTATCATAATTATTACATGTATCTAGCATATGCTGCTGGAATGTTTCCAGAATGGGGATTGGGGTGTCGCATACCACATGTACCATAGTACTTGAACCGTGTCTGCGGATGTGTCAATCCCAGTTCTTCGGCGAACAATTCATACATCTTGGCTGTGTGGTATCGCAGCAACCCTTTTATACCGCAGCAGAGAACTGCATGCCCGTACACGACTAGGTAACTTACCCATGAAACACCCTCGCAGTTTGGAGGTAGTGCAATGCCTCTAGCAGTTGCCCGGTTATTGGCCGCAATGTCTGCTCTGTTAGCGGGGCACCAGTGGTCTTGATCGAGTCGTTCAACATTTCCTCCAGGGTCCTGCCACGGATCCACTCGAAGAAGATCACTGGCCAGAGTGCCGACTGCATTCCGCCAAAGCACGCAGCAATGTTCTTGTGCTGCAGCTTAGTGGAGATCGTCAGCTCGTTGCACACCATTTGCTCCAAGTTCGGCTGCCTGCTGGTGTAATCCAGAAACTTTCCGACCACAGTGCCTTTCTGTAGAATAATAATAATAATAAAATTAATTATGATAACGCGTGCCATTCGCAATGTAAGGGACTTCTCACACACACAGGGAAATCATTATAATCACATGCATTACAAATGTAGGAGAGGACGCGAACTTATAACGCTGACAACCACCCATCATATTGCACAGCAAAAGAATTATACCATTATACATATTATAAATCCGTTGATCCCCGAGCTGCAGAGAGTGCTCAATGTCAGAGACAGAGAGCTTAGTACATAGCAGACTCAGCGGAGGACGTTCAGGTTGGTTGTAACTCTGAGTTTCAGGCCGCTAGGCAATCATCAGACAACTGCACCATTATACAGTCATATTATACATAATTATGTGTATTTTGCCATCTTGAATTATTGGTGTGTCGTGCAACAAACACTGGCCGGAAGCGTTTCACAGAACAATATCTAAATCTGGAAAACCGTAGGTTCCAGGCTGTCCAAGAGTGTGCTCAAGACCGAGAGGCAGAGCTAGTTTTATTTTTTATTTTTTTATTTTATTTCGGCCAGTCGGCTACTATCATTTCGTCTTGGGGGTTAGACAAGGGGAAGTAGCCATGTAGGGCGTTAGCCCGCCTTTCGGCACCGGGAGTTGCAGCTTGCTCGACTTGACTCTACTGAGTGCAGAGGGCCCACACCTTGATCTGGTGAGCTGCGTCGTGCGGATTTTTGCAGTCAGATGTGCGACTGCGGGGCTCGAACCCGCGACCTCTCGGGTCGCAGGCAAGTGCGGTACTCAATGTACTACCGGGGAGGCCCCCCAGAACTAGTTCAAACAATAAGAGGACGGAAAAGTGTTTACTCTGAGTTTGGCGCACTAAGCGATCATCGCGAACCTAAGAGTTAAAACACTTTTTCCGTCCTCTTATTGTTTGTCTCAAAATTGGAAAACCGTAGTTTCCAAAGAGGAACTCCTACTTCAACTGACACTGTAGAATGTACTTCCAATAACCCACCTTGGTTGCAGGGATCTCCACTCCGAAAACTTTACCGAACTGTCCCCGGCCAACGTCCATGAAGTCCACTTCGACAGCTTTGGCCAAGCGGCGCCTGAATGGCTCGTAGCCAACATCCTCACCGAATACTGCTTCAGAAAGCGGCTTGGGCCACGGGACCGCCAGCATTCTGAATGTCAATCAGCAATGTTCAACATAGAATGTGAGAGCTATTTCCAATGAGAATTGCTGCCAGGAAGAACAGTATCAGCAATCAACAGAGGAGTAACGGGCTGCGTGCAGCTTTTATGATAGAAGTGAAGAGCTAACGGGTACAGTGTGCACATCGTATTGTGTGTACTCATATCTGTAGTCGGTATGCAGCTAGCAGATTCTTGGCTGCCCACGTGTAGACTGTAGTCAGTACACCAATGCGCTGTGAGTCCTCATTATGCATGAGGGGACTTCAGTTTCCCCTTGGGTTTGGTCGTTCTCTATTGCGTTCGTTCATGCTTCTTAGCTCCTTTCCCAAAAGCTTGATAGGCAATATCTACCCTTGCATGTCTCTTTTGTTGGATTTGAGCTCGCAACATGTTGTCCTTTCTTTTTATACACCATTGATCTTTGAAGGGTGGTGGCGTTTGTACGGATTCGGAAAAACTCGGCTTCTAGCCGAGTCTCACTCGGACCGGAAATTCTTTTTTCTCTTTTTTTATACAATGTATAAAAAAAGAGAAAAAAGAATCATGAATGGGAATGGGATGAACTTCCAATTCAAGGCAACCAGTCAGGGGAAGTCAACTGCCTGAAAAGAGAAAGAAATATGCCAGACCCACTAGGACTCGTGAGCTGCCCTTGGAGTGAAAAACTTGTCACCGCCTTCTATAACGTTTATATTTGGCCTGGTCCCATTGTAGCTAGAGGGTTGCACATGCCAAGCAAGGTCCCGGTTTCGAGTCCTGATGGGTCTTTTATTTTTTCTCTTTTAAGGAAGTGCACTTCCCCTGACTCTTTACCTGGAAAATAATGATACCGTAATTATAATAATTATATAGAAAGGAAAAGGACCAGGGACTACAAGTTACGCTATAATATCCACTTAGAACACCAGTTACTAAACAATGCGACAACATTGCACGACACTGACCGACGGTCTTGACGTTCTACAACTAACTGGCTAACAGCTGTAATAATAATAATACTCACTGTTTGGAGAGAAAACACAAACTGGAAAGGTCTGAAAGGTCTGACGACAAAATTGACTGCAACCACCAGGACTCGAATCAGAGACACTCGCTTGAGGCCAGCGACACTCTAACCACCGAGCTATGGTGTGGCCGCCATCCCAGCAGAGACCGTTCAACACCTTCTTCAAACTACGTATCTCATACTTCCTGTGAATCCACACAGGCGGCTGGGATGCAGCCATCACTGTGTCCCACACACTTCACGTGCAAAATAGCACGCAGGGATCCCCAAGTCATAAAGTATTGGCTGGTTAGTGGGTAAGACGCAAACGGGAAAGGTCTGAAGAAAACATTGACTGCCCCCACCCGGACTCGAACCAGGGACCCAATATGAATACACTGTTTAATAATCCAACTTTGATCAAAAAAAGGTTTTCGAACAGGAAATCGATCCGTAGTTCTTGCGCTCACATGCAGATGGCTCCATCTTGCATCACTCTATTCCAAAATTTTGGTTGGTGATTTATTGTGGCCGGTTGGTACCTAGCGGCGAAATCAGTGAAATTTAATCGCCAACGAAAATAAGTTGACTAACACTCATAACAGTATTCGGGTACATTTTAGTGTACGATTTTACACTCGCCACAATTAGTTGCACATGCATTGTCACATTGCACCTCACGTTCTACCATTCTATCTTTGATGAATGGCGCATCATATACTCACCGGTGTATATTATTATTATTCTATCGTGTACCAGTGTAATAATTAGCCTGGAGATGGACACACTTCACGTACGAACTAGCACGCCGGGGGTCCCACCCTGAAGTTGTGTTAGGGTTAGGTCTCGGATCGCTGAATGTCTCAGTGGCCTGTCAGTTTTTTGCCCTATTATCGCACTTTCTGACCGTTTATCATCTTGTTACAGTCGTGGATAGTTGCTGCATAACTCGTTCTCATGTGCTTCTTCTCTTTGTTACATTAAATACTGGCTCAGCATCCGAGTTTAAACTTTCAAATTCAGTGCCACTTTCTTATGAGTTAGCCATCCATCTAGCTATCTCCACAGACAGCAGAACGAGCAGTTGCGGTTTCGTAACTCCGAGTTTCACGAACTTAATCGATCATCAGACGAAAAATAGTATCTGTCTAGCTAGCTATCTACTCAATGCTGCATCTGTTTCGGCCATCTACAGGTAGTTTACCAGCCCGAACTACCAGGCATGGCACAACTTGGCACGAATATAGAGCTTCCCGCGCAAGTAGGCGATCATTAGACGACAGCTCTATAAACTTTTCTACGTACTTGCTCACACGACTTTTAACCGTGTTCAATTCGATATGCATGAACATGTACCAAGATTAGTGCATTTGCTCGCATCCAATGTTTCGCTGCACCCCACCCCATTCTGCCGTGGAGCTCCCGTAATGTGCTGGCTTCGTCCGAGCTCCTCATGACCCATGCCCGAAGAGTTCCATCTGCCATCATGAATTTCCTCTTCGTGTACATTATTATTGTACTGCAAAGGGTTTTCCCGAGGTGGTATCGACCAGAAGCCTGGTAACGCACACCAAATCGGCCTTTCGTACTTCAGCTGTTCACGTGCATTGTCGTCACCCTCTAGGGATCGGCGGATTCTGCTCGAAAAGCAGTGAAATTGCCAGAACCATACAAACCTTATGGCGGGCAATTCCTCGAATTCTGCTCCATTTCTTTATCCACATACCAAACATGCATGAAACGTACCAGAAAAAGTACCGAATTCTGCCAATTTTTCTGCCGGCAGAATCCGCCGGACCCTATCACCCTCCTTGTATGTGGCTGCCATAAGGCAGCACCGGTAATGCAAGTACAGTGTACAGTAAAACCTGTAACTAAAGACCACTGTGACTAGCGACCAGCCTGGTACTACAGACCACTGTGACTAGCGACCAGCCTGGTACTACAGACCACTGTGACTAGCGACCAGCCTGGTACTACAGACCACTGTGACTAGGGACCAGCCTGGTACTACAGACCACTGTGACTAGCGACCAGCCTGGTACTACAGACCACTGTGACTAGCGACCAGCCTGGTACTACAGACCACTGTGACTAGCGACCAGCCTGGTACTACAGACCACTGTGACTAGGGACTAGCCTGGTACTACAGACCACTGTGACTAGGGACTAGCCTGGTACTACAGACCACTGTGACTAGCGACCATCCTGGTACTATATACCACTGTGACTAGCGACCAGTCTGGTACTACAAACCACTGTGACTAGCGGCCAGCCTGGTACTAAAAACCACTGTGATTAGCGACCTGCCTGGTACTACAGACCGCTTTGCCAGGCACGCATGGTCTCACACTCATAATGATTATGGCGGTGCGGTACAAACCTCGAACTAAGGACCACCTGCCACTAATGAGCGCTTTCTCTGGCCCCAAGGTGTGGTCGTTAGTCACAGGTTTTACTAACTAGATTTCAGTGGGATCAGTGCAGCCAACCACTCTGGGTTCGGCTGATGAAAAGAACAGGGTCCAGGCATCTAGCTGTCCTGACGTCGATGTATAAGTTATGTATTTCTGATTGAAGATCTGAACTTTAAAAATTAAAACTTTTAAGGGTTTAAGGGTAGGTAGATACATGATCAACACAAAATACAAGAGGTAGAGCGGAAGCTGTTTTGCGACTCCCTGTTTCACCTAGTCACGATCATCAGGCAACGTAAATAGCAAAATTACCTTGATGTGACCTCAAACTCTTTCCTTTTTCACATTACTGAAGTATCCTTGTGCCGTACAATTCCTACACCACACCCGAGACTACTTCGAGTAACATTTCGCCATTTAAGGAGGGAATCCGACAACTAAAATCATTCTAACTCGTCTTTTGATTTTATGGATAGATCATCCAAAGCGGTCCACTTTCGCAAAGCACCTGGGCGTCTTGACCGCATTCTCGGTCTGCGACGCAGCAGCGGCCGACGTTCAGCCGATTGATCGTCCTCTGATGACGATGATGACAATGTTGCTGAACATGATGATGATGACGCTGATGACGACGACGACTTGTCCGCGTCTGAAACCTCTCTAAGGGATAAATTATCCAGAGTGGTCCACTTCCGCAAAGACCCCAGGGGTGGAGGACGAGATTTCGGCCTGCGACCCAGCGTCGTCCGATTTGCAGCCCCTTCCTCGTCCTCTGATGACGATGATGTCTCGCCGGTGGCGGTCCGAACAACAGCCGGTTTTTTCCGGCGAGTGAGCGTACCACTGCTTGGATACGTTCCATCTTCCCACTTGTCAGTGCGACAGGTGCCCTTTTTGCCATCGCGCAGCATGTTGTCCTCGGAAGCATAGCCTCGACCCTCGCTCGTATCCTGCGGCAGCTCGCCAGCAGAGGCCCAGCGACGGATCTGTGGTGTCTTAGTATACTTATGCCATGCACGGGCGCGTTTCTTCTGCCGTTCGCGTAATCGGAGACCTCGCTTTCGTTCCGCCTCCTCCTTGTCCATAACGGCCAGAACCTCCATCATGTAGTTTAGTTTTCTGACTCCTTGCTTCCTTTTATACTCCTCCGAAGCAGCCTTGCAAGCAGGCCTTTTGCGAACCTCCTTGCCAAACAATGCGTTCGTTTTGGGAGGTATGGCACCAGCCAGAAGATGATGGGTGTGGACTTCCTCAAACCCTACTTTCCTCATTAACCTTTTATCTTTGTGCATCTCCGTCCTAAGTTCCGCCGCACGCTGTATGGCTGCACGATCCTCGCGTGTCATGTGTGTGAATAACATTTCGTCAGGCAGCAGGTGAGGCTTCGGGATATCGCGAAGCTCCATAAATCGATCCATGGCTGAAGAAAATTAGACCACTTACAGTGAGTGCAAATACCTTGAAATGTCGCCTATCCCAGGTGACTCGCTGCACATGCATGCATCGAACATTTCCCGTTTTCAGGTTTTGCGGATCCTGTGCATCTGTTCCTCAGCCTGGCTCACAGATTTCGCAGATTTCGCAGATTTCGCAGAGTACAGATTTCGCAGAGTACTGCAGTGGAGTACAGTAATGTCGATTGTACCGAATTGGAACATAC